AAAGTAAGTATTTTCATCATCATTATTATTATTGCAGTCAATATCATTGCTTTTGAAAAATATTAACTGTTGATTTTGATTTATTTTAAATAATAAATAGTTCGTAAGTGTTTTCATCATCATTATTATTATTGCAGTCAATATCATTGCTTTTGAAAAATATTAACTGTTGATTTTGATTTTATTTTAAATAATAAATAGGGAGTAAGTATTTTCATCTTTATTATTATTATTATTATCACAGTCAATATTATTCTTTAAAACATATTATTAACTGTTGATTTTCATTTTATTTTAAATAGGCTGTAAGTGTTTTCATCATCATCATTATTTATTGCACTCAATATTATTCTTGAAAAATATTAACTGTTGATTTTCATTTTATTTTAGTGATAAATAGGCTGTAAGTGTTTTCATCATTATTGTTATTACATTCAATATTATTTTTGAAAAAATTTTTAACTATTGATTGCCATTTTTATTTTAAATAATAAATAGGGAGTAAGTATTTTCATCATCATCATTATTATTACAACAAATTGTTTTTGAAAAATGCTAACTGTTGATTTTCATTTTATTTTAAATAATAAATAGCTGGTAAGTATTTTCATCATTATTATTATTATAGTCAATATCAATGTTTTTTGAATATTAACTGTTGGTTTTTCATTTTATTTTAAATAATAAATAGGAGGTAAATATTTTCATCATTGCCATATATTGTTACAGTTAGTAATTAATTGTTTTGAAAAAATATTAACTGTTGATTTTATATTTATTCTTTAGCCTTCATTTATTATTTTAAGTTTTTAGCAATATAAATTATACCTTTTACTTTGATCTTATATTTATTTTTGTTTTTAATTTTCGGTAGATTTTTTTTTATTAAATTATAGATAATTAAATATATAAATAAATAAAACAGTTCCACTGAATTAATATTAATATAATTCTTTATTTATAATTTTGAAAAGATAAGCAAGCAAGTTTTATAAAGTTATGTCCAATAAAAAGCAAATAACATGAAACAAAATACTTTTTATAAATAAAATATTATTAATATTAATATTAATATGTATACTAGAACAAACTTCAATGTAAACCTTCAATTCGTGATCCTTAAAATTTTTGATGGTAAAAACTATCCAGTCCCGTTATTGTGTAATGTTTCCACTTGCATTTTGTAGAACAGAACATTTTTATCTATTGCAAAAATGTGTAAAATAACTTGTGTGCTCTATATTATTATTTCTTTGCAACAAATTAATAAATCTTATAAATGAAAGCAGATCAATCACATATTAATATGTCACAATGACATGTAAATATAGGAAGAGTTCGCAGATCTTAAGCTTATTTTTTTTGTCTTTTTGGTTTGCTGATTCTTTAGATGGAGAAGAGAAGGAACTGAGGTGTAACTGGTGGATCATCACTGTCTGTTGTTTTGAATGACTGTGACCTATGCAAAGCAAAAAATACATTAATTGATATATTGATAAAATAAACAATCATTGTTCCTTACAAATAATTCAGATCAAATATTCAGAAATCTTTCAATAATTAACACTATTGAGTTTCATTTATTCCTGGATCATTATTTCTTAAATGCCTTGAAGTTTATTTTGACAAATTTATTGTCTATTCTACTGTGAGTGATGCATGTATGGACCTTCTCTCCATTTACACTCTTGATAAATACAACCGAGGATATAATATTTTTATAAAAAAAAATTTGAATTTTTTTGAAAGAAAAAAGGTTTTTGTTTAAAGATTGATCATATATTGGCAGCTAGATGGATCACTCAAAACAAAATCATTCAAAAATTTAATCGACCATCCGTCTATGAGCTTTTAGTGTTATGTACATAGTTCGGATGGTAGCATATTTTTCCATACCAAGTCGCACAAAATTTTTATTTTGACGGGTGTGAAGGGAAGCATGTAATATTTAAGCATTGGTATATAATTTCTTGTTTACTAAATTTGGGATGATCAATGATCAAAGAGCTAGTACTATATAGTACTAGTGTCCATATTCGAATTTTATGTTTCGAATATCCGTAATTATAATATCGTAACACTTTCAAATACTTTCAGATATTATAATATTGTAATTATACTATTAATATATATTTACTTTATTTTACTTATTAATGTAACAACATTTCATGTATAAATTTTTTAAAAAATATAAAAACATTTTTACTGAGCAAATGTTTCTAACTTAAATAGTAATAAATAATTTGCTTTAGACTATTATTTATTTCCATAAATCGTTACATTTATCATGATTTAATTATAACGTAAATTATTTATTCGAAAATGTTAGCAAGCAAATTACAATTTTGGGTATTTATCTGGGAATGCTGAATCTTCCAACTATATAAGAGACTATAGGACTTTAATCTGGTTCTCTCGATCAATGATATAAGTTAATTGTTTAACATCCTGAGAAATCCAACACTTCTACAAATTGTGCTAGCATTAATTACTTCAAATGCACCAAGATCCCTAAACTTTAATGAACCGTGCCCAGAAGGCTGGGGATTTTGAGACTACTGCACATATGCTAACACATGAACTAGTGGGCATTATATTGGTGTGAAAAAAAGTATTACACCTCTCCAAGGAATTCATAATGATTGGAAGCATTTCGATCTACCAAGAGCCTTACCTAAAGAAAACTAATGTTTTAACATGATAAAATGGAAAGTTTATGGATTAGTAATGTATATACAGCAACATAATAAAAATTTGTATGTTATAATTAAGTTAATTATCAGTCCATGTTTTTCCATATTTCTGAACAGAATTTGTAGTTGACTTGAAAGTAATAAGGTTAGACTAGAAAATTGTTTTAAAATTGAAAGCATAAATAAATAGGAATCATACTACAAGCTGGTTTGCATGTTCCCTTTCTAAAATATATAGAAAAAAAATTAAATTAAAGATTTAAACAATGAAAAGAAGAATAATAATAGCCAATTTAATTGTCGCGTAACAATTCTTTCTGATTTCGTTTAACCACTAACCTTTAGAAAAAGAAATCATACCTTTTAACATTCCTAAATATATATAAAAAATATTAATTAATAATAATATATATTATCCTCAATTACTTGGGTACATAAAACTGTTTTTCTGTAAATCTCTCTAAAGCTAATTAACCAATACTAGACGAGACCTACAAAGCTTGGGAAGCAAGTTTTATAAAATATACTTGATGAATATTTTATCTAGTTATATGATAGGCGGGTTAGATTATGATGCTTATTTGATTTGAAAATGCTATATAAGAATTTAAAATTCAATAGTTCATTACCTATTACCATATATTTTTGTATCTTGTTAAGTACTTGATCGAATTGAGTGATCTTAGATTCAAAAGAAAGCCTGAATTCTATTTCACATCATATTTAAACGTAATGTTATTTAGTATTGATTTTAAACCACAGTTAGTTAACGCATTTTAATAATATTATTAAATATCTCTTTACAATTTGTATATTATTATTGCTTGCCCATATTATCTAATTATTTTATTCTTTATTGTTTATGTAGGAATAAAATGCAAAAGAAAATTTTAAACTGTATAAATATTCATAACAATATAATTATTTACATTTATTTCTACTTGTACTTGGGTCAACAAAATTTTACTATATATGATGCAGATTATTCAAAAAAAAATTTTTTTCCGATGTCATCATAACGTAATTAATATTACATAGTAAAAATAAATAAACAAAAACTAATTAAATTAAACCGTTTGAGCTGACGGATCACCGCATTTTCTTTCCAAGTGGTCGTTGGACATTTAATAATTGTAACCACACACACACACACTCATTAAGATCATCCAAATTTTAGTTTTACAACCTGCGGGAAATGTCATGCGGCTAGTTAAATAATAATGATAGGAATGTATTCTCCGTGTATTTTCTATATTAGTATGAGTATTAATATGTTTTTAATCAAAGTTGTAGTTATTATTAAATAAAATATTTGTAAGAAAAAAATGTCCGTTTTTATCCGCGAGTTTATCAGTTGATCAATAATATTCCAAAACTATAAAATCTTATTCTCACATCCCGTTTTAATTCCACGTTTACAAATGTACATATATTAATATAAATAACATCATAGAAAGAATCCGGATTGCTCACTCAACCAGTTGCTGCTTTTATGGACAATTACGGAATAATAAAACATAATCACGGAGATATGATGGAAATATTCTGGAATGTCATTTTTTACAGGGAAAGAGCCAAAAGAAAAAGATTTTGGAAATAGCAAAGCGAAAAGTAGAGTACCTTTAGAAATAGAATATTTCCTGGACAACTCAAAATTTGCTAAAAAAAAGGTGAAGACATAGTAATAGATTAATCATTAATATTAAGAATTTAATCTATTATAATGGCATTAGGAATATTATATTATTTTTATTATGATATTGTCCACAATATACTAATACGGAAATCTAATACTAATTGATAGACCAATAATATAAATAATAATAATAATAAATATACGCAATTTCTGATTATCTAAGAAATTTAATTATTTTTTCTTTGTAACCCAATAATTAGTTTGTAATTTTCAAAAAAGGAAATATTATTAAATTATTGATTGTTAAACAGCAAACCAAAAAGGCGTATGATTTTCTTATTTATTCTAACAAAAAATTGAAAATTTGAAACAAATTTTTATTAATCGACGTTTTTGGTCATGGAAACTTTATGGAATTTTCTTTTTATCGTAAACATTGATATCAAATCAATTTAACAAAGAATACGTAGACAAACTTTGATAGAGAAACACCTATTTAAATGAGGAAAATTATGATAGGAAATAAAAATTAATTCTCAAAAATTGAAAAATAATAAATTATTTTTCGCTAAAAATATTTTTATCGCTCAACATTCCTTTAAAGAGCCTGAAACTTTTATCAAGTCTCATATTCTTTTATTATAAAACACCACCCTTCATAAGTAATAGAAATGGCAATTGTTGTCCCTATCCCTTCCTCAATCACAGCTACAAATGCAAACACGGCTGCAGCTGGTTTGTCGTTTGCCTCATTTTTTTTTCTTTTTTTGGTGAACTTGGGGACGCCAATTATCAAGGCAATTTATATCGCGAGTTATGAATCAACCGTCAGTAAAATAACCACGAGAGTTATATTTGGAGTGTATGGAGCTTGTGTAGAAGCATCCGGTTTGACTGGCGGCTACGTATGCGCGTCGAGTGCTGGTACTGCTTATTCTACTTCAGCCGGCGGTACAAGATTTTTGTTGTCTATGCATTCTATTGGTAATGTGTTTATTATTAATTATAACGATAAAATATGGATTATATCATATATGATAAATTAATTATTGATTGTTGTTTTGAATATATTTTTAGGTGTAATAACATCATTTATGTTGTTTTCCGCCGGAATTTATACTCGTAGTCATCAAATTGTATATAAAAAAGCGACATGGGCCGTCGCATTATTCAGTTCTTTTATCATTATGTTAGCAATGGCAGGACAAATTGACCATTTTTTAAGACTCAAAAGGCTGCTTACTCTTTTTGGTGGTGTTGATGGTACTACTGTGAGTCTTGGTGCCGGTGGATTTATTCTTGTGTTTATATCTTTCATAACCTCAGTCTTGGCAGCTTACGCATTTTACGTTGGAGAACAACGAGGGGAAAATGACGCCAATGGTTCCAACTATAATAACTTTAACAACTATAACGGAAATATGAGCACGGGAATGGCCAATCAGCAACCCCATTATCCTCAATCTTATTCCACTCCACAAGCGTCCCAACCTTATTCAAATCCTCAATCTTATCCAAATCCCCAATCTTATCCAAACAATCAATCTTATCCGCCTCAACCTTATTCAAATCCCCAACCTCATCCAAACAATCAATATTAATTTTCCATAATAATCATCAATATGTTAATTAATTTAGTAAAAATGTATAAACATTAACATTAATATATTTTATATAAATAAAGTTTTATAATTAGAAAAGTCATGGCTATGCTTAGCCTTTATAACCAAAGCTGGTCGCATGTAAACTCTTAATATATAGTCTTGATTGCAGTTTTTGAATATAATGTACAAAATAAATAAAAAAATAAAAAAATGCATTTTTGATACTACTACCCTGTACTAGGTACTTAAAAATACGAAAAATGGTATTGGAACCAGCGAGAAATAATTTTGTTGGCATTTTTCCATATGCTTTCCGTATGGTACTTTTTGTACATGAAAAAATGCATTCCAACACACAGAAAAATCTATTCTATGCCATTTCTGCATGTTTATGTATAGGAAAGTTTATTTTTCATATAGTAATATTAGTATGTATAATTTTTTATATATAGGATGAGATGCATTAAAAAAATTGCATCTGTGGGTTGTCCAATAATTATAAAACCACTAGTCTTGACTAGATTTCCTCACTACATTGTTCCAGGCACTCGGCCCAATGTAGCTATAATCCTTAATCTGATAGCACTCCTTGACGAGTGCCTTCTTAGCCGTTACTCACCGTCTTACCAAGCCAGGTACGCAAAAAAATAAAAAAATAAAAATATATACTAATTGAAGCGTCCCTACAAGCAACCTAACTAATAGTTAAAGGTCAGCTAAACCATTAATCATTAGTAAAGGTCACGAAACAACCTGTAATGGCTTTACTTATTTAACTATGCAAACAATTCGTAAATAAAAGATAATGATTTAAAATGTTAAGAAATCTTGAAGTCATTTGTTGATGCTGCTGAAATAATAAGCGGTAGTTCTTGCTCAACACTGAGTGAGTATTATTTATTCAATAATTAATAATTTGGTTAAAAAATTAAATGATGTACTAACACAAACTATAGTTGATAACAAGACTCAAAGAATTGGATTTTTTAAACATAATTTTGACCATTGAGAAAAATAATTTTAATTCTAATAGGGCAGAGGAAATTCATAGCTCTTCTCAGAAGTCAACTTTACCATTGTTTTTCAATGATAATCAAATAGAATGAAGATAAAATCAGAGATCCATTTACGAGTCAAAAAAGTAATTTTACCAAATATTTGCTATACAAACAGGAATTTACTTGGCCAATACCAGGGAGGCTGAGAAATTGTTTTCATCAGCTGAGAATTTATTTACAAAAAAAAAAAAAAAAAAAAATAGACTAGGTAAATAATGTCCTTTTTTTATAAACTATTATTTTTTAGTGAATATACATATTATTCGTCAAAGTTCTTAGCCGGCTAAAGGTTTTCCTACTGGCCGGCATCACTAGTAATACCTATTAACCCACCCATATTTTATGTTTTTGAGTTTCACACCATTAATATTTTTATTATTATACTCATAATTGCGCTCAACTTGATTCTAATTTACAAAATAAAAATAAACAGTATTAAATTAGATGCTAGAAAATATTCTTTTTATCAGTTGACTATATCTATAGTATCTTTTTGTGCGTAGTGGGACGATTTTTGGTAGGAAAATGAAGTATCAGTATTGAGTATTATTTAAAAATCTCAATGATTAAAATAATAACCGACTATGTTTAGCATCAGCACAATTACTACTTTCTGATGAACGCAATGAATGAATAAAATGAAAAAGAGTGAAATTGGTTATTTCAATATCTTGGTGAAACGCAAATATTTATATCAATTTGAGCAATATAAACAAGAATAAATGAGGAAATTTATGTATAGCCTTCCGCTTGGTTTTTGAATCCAAGATTCTTTATACCAAAGAATCATTTAGCCTCAAGTTCTGTTATCCTGTTTCAATTTCTTTATTAAAAAACATCATCTTTATAAGTGATAGGGATGGGTTTCGCTAAAACTGCAAACACTGCTGGAGCTGGTATGTCACTTATCTCGTTCCTGTGTCTTTTATTTGTGCATTTGGGGACGCCAATTATCTATTCAATTTATATTGCGAGTTATAGAAGTAGTGGGACTGAGAAGGTGTTGTTTGGATTATACGGCGGGTGTACGCAACGTAATAATGGTAATTTTTATACATATTATTGCGTGGTTAGTTTTAGACATCCGGGCACTTTTGAGGGTACAAAATTTTTGTTGGTTATGCATACCGTCGGTAACGTATTTACTGATTAATCATACCACTAAAGTGTGAAAATATATATACAGTATAATAATTGTTTGAATATATTTTTAGGTTTAATAACATCATTAATGTTGCTTTGCATCGGAATTTATGCTCGTAGTCATGTTGTGAATAAAAGAGTGACATGGGTCTTTGCATTATTCAGTTCTTTAATCGTTTTCTTAGCAATGGCAGGACAAATTGACCATTTTATAAAACTCCAATATTGATTAGATGAATATGGACCAGAGTTGCAGCTTGGAGCTGGTGGACTTAGTCTTGTGACTATATCCCTTATATTCTCACTCTTATCAGCTCTTGCATTTTATAAAGGAGATCAAGCTGTAAGTAAAGAAGGCAGTGACATCAATAGTTCCAACGATAATGAAAATATAAACACAGTAATGACCAACCAGCAGAAACCTGTTCCTCAACAATTTCAAATTCCACAATCTTATTTAAACCCTCAATCTGATACAAATAATCAACCTTATTCGAGCACCAACTATCAACCTGTTGTTTAATTTTATTTTTTTTTCAACCCAATGAATGTGTCATAAATTTAATTTTCGTGTTAACATTAATTGGTAATTTTGATAAACATAATAATACTGTATAAATATCAATTTAGTAACTTCAACAAATAAAGTTTTATATAAATCTGCATAATCTTCACAAACTTGATCATTTGTGTGAATGAATAGGAACATTCTATGTAGTTATTGTATAAAATCCAAATCCTGGGTTGATTTCACAGGTTTGGGTGCACCCGGATGATGACAATGGACACTCGGGTGGAAGAAAAATAAGTAGCCTGTCCATAATATTTGTGGTTTTCTAAAATGCAACTTATGATTCCTCTTGAACATAATATATTTAAACTATTATCAGCATTATCAACTATCATCAACAGTATCATCACTATCATTATTATCGTCATCATTACTATCATCAATATCTTTTACCTACATTTGTAACTTTACTTATCTTTGGGGTTTCGATTTATTATTAATATATATATATAAACTAATTTAAAAACATGTACATAAGAAAATGTAGACCAATTCCTTTCTGCTGCAGCTGATGAGGTAGAATAGAAAGAACTCTTACCGCAACTTTTGTCAATTCAGGTACCACAGCTCCAAAATTACCTTTCCGCTAGGTTAATAAATCCACATTATTGGTAGATAACCATGCCAATGAGTTGCCAAATATAACATTACAAGCTTTATATTGTAAAATTTTATTTCTGCATTTCCTAAAAAAATCATGCAGATGGAACATCTCTGCATGTGAGAGATTGTTTTCATCAGCCAAGAATTTATTTACAAAAAAAAAAAGACTAGGTAAATAATGTCCTTTTTTTATAAACTATTATTTTTTATGAATATACATATTATTCGTCAAAGTTCTTAGCCGGCTAAAGGTTTTCCTACTGGCCGGCATCACTAGTAATACTTATTAACCCACCCATATTTCATGTTTTCGAGTTTCACACCATTAACAATAATATTATTATACTCATAATTGTGCTCAACTTGATTCTAATTTACAAAATGAAAATAAACAGTATTAAATTAGATGCTAGAAAATATTCTTTTTATCAGTTGACTATATCTATAGTATTTTTGTGCGCTTTTTGGTGGGAAAATGAAATATCAGTATTGAGTATTAATTAGTATTATTTAAAACCTCGATTATGACAATGATTAAAATAATAACCTACTGTTTTTAGCATCAGTACAATTACTACTTTCTGATGAACGCAACGAATAAAATGAAAAAGAGTGAAATTGGTTTCAATATTTTGGTGAAACGCAAATATTTATATCAATTTGAGCAATGTAAAAAAGAATGAAGAGTACAAAAATACATTTAGATGAGAAAATTTATATATAGCCTTCCGCCTGGTTTTTGAATCCAAGATTTTTTATCACCAAAGAATCATTTAACCTCAAACACACTTATCCTGTTTCAATTTCTTTATTAAAAAACATCATCTTTATAAGTGATAAAAATGGGTTTCGCTATTTCCACCAAAACTGCAAACACTGCTGCAGCTTGTATGTCATTTATTTCGTTCTTGTTTCTTTTATTAGTGAACTTGGGAACGCCAGTTATCAAGTCAATTTATATTGCGAGTTATAGGGATCCGAATTATGAATATAAGGCAGGTCTGGGTTATAATTATGGAGCAGGGAGCGGCAGGAGGTTCTTTGGAATATACGGCGAGTGCACGCAATTTAATAATAGTGATAATTATCTTAGTTTTGATTCTTATACATATTATTGCGTGGATAGTTTTACACCTTCAAACATTTTTGACGGTACAAAATTTTTGTTGATTATGCATGCTGTTGGTAACGTGTCTACTGATTAATCACACCACTAAAGCGTGGAAATAAATTATAAACAGTAAAATAATTGTTTGAATATATTTTATAGGTGTAATAACATCACTAATGTTATTTTGCATCGGAATTTATGCTCGTCGTCATGTTATGAATGAAGGAATGGCATGGATATTTGCATTATTCAGTTCTTTTATCGTTTTGTTAGCAATGGCAGGACAAATTGATATGTTTTTAAAACTCCAATATTGGTTTAATGATTATAATGGAAAAGATTTGAAACTTGGAGCTGGTGGACTTAGTCTTGTGATTATGTCTCTTATCTTCTCACTCTTATCAGTTCTTGCATTTTACAAAGGACATCAAGCTGTAAGTGAAGGAGGCGGTGACATCAATGGTTCCAATGATAACGAAAATATGAACACAGTAATGACCAACCAGCAGAAACCTGTTCCTCAACAATTTCAAATTCCACAAACTTATTTAAACCCTCAATCTGATACAAATAATCAACCTTATTCGAGCACCAACGATCAACCTGTTGTTTAATTCAACTTTTTTTCAACCCAATGAATGTATCATCATCAATTTAATTTTCGTGTCAACATTAATTAGTAATTTTGATAAACATAATAATAATGTATAAATATCAATTTAGTAATTTTAACAAATAAAGTTTTATATAAATCTTCACAAACTTGAACATTTTGTGTAAATGAATAAGAGCATTCTATGTAGTTGTTGTATAAATTCCAAATCCTGGTTATATTATTGATTTCACACATGTCAATTTACAAATTTGAATTTGGTATGCAATATATTAATATGAAGAAAGTGTATAAATTGAGCCGAATCCATATTCCATCAACTTTGTTATACTCAAAAGGTATACATTTTAAATATAACATTTTCAGATGTTCAAATATTGAAAGACAGTAAGCATAATCTGTCAGAGTATTTTTTTGATTACACTTTTGAATTACCCAAGACTGGATGCGGCCATATGCATCCTCCTCCTCATTTAACATCCCAGGATAATCTTACATTTTTACGAAAAGTAAATTAGTCAATATCATACCAAACATTACCCTAATTAGATTAATAGGTAAATGAAATGAACTAGGGATGTCCATCGAAACTATTTCAAGCTACAGAAATGCTTTCGGTAAAATTTTCGGTCTCGGTTCAAAAACCGAAAGTCAAAATTTCATCCGAAAATCGAAACCTAAACTGAAAGTCAAAACCTAAACCGAAAACATTATATTACTACTTTTTTTCTTTTTCTTAAATCATATACATATAATCTGTACAATTAAAAAAAAAAAAAAATTCAAAGAATTAATTTTAATTTTCATCCAACAAGATTAACTTGTTCATGATATTAAATACATTGGCGACTCTGAAGCTACAAAAGAAGAGTTAAAGTCTCACAAGTTATTTAACAAAAGAATTTAAAAAATTAATATGGAGAGGAAAAATTGAAATGCTTTATTTTTTTATTATTGGTTTAGAAGATATTCATGAACAAAATGCCGTTCATCGTGACAGTATTCTTCAAAGTAATCTATTGCAAATTTGGGATTATCGAAATAAGAATAGTGTAAACTGGAGTACTTATAAGTGTTAAATGGTAAACCCTATACAAAGGCATCATACATATACAATTTTCATAATAGAGATCTTGCAATCAAGATATGCGAAGACCTGGGTTTTCAATTAATGCACCAAAAACTTTAATATTATAAACATATGAATACTGATCCAGATAAATGACCATTTGGTATAATATATGAGGCTGAATTTCCCATAACCAATTATTGGTAATAGTAATTATTATATTAACTTTAAATTGATAAACGGATTTAAATATATTATTGGATAAATTTTTTATCTAAGACTATTATTTTATATATTTGTTTGTTTTTATACACTTATTCGCTTTTTTTTTTAATTGAAATAAAGGTTATGGTAAATTAGAACTTTTGCGCATATACCAATTGCAATAATTGCAATTAATCCTACCATTTAACAAGTATAGCCGATTATGGTTTGACTTTTGGGCTACACTCGTCAATTGACTCTGTGATTATCAATTAGTTAGTTTATGAATTTACTTTGGTTCTCGCTTATTGCCTCTTCCTTGTACCTAGAAAGTTTCAACGAACCTGTGAGCACAATTAATGGTACCAGATAACTGTAAATAAACAGATATGGCTCTTTTACAAAACTCAAAGGCTTCTTTAAAGTTCCTTTATTTACTTGTGACCAATTTATTTCAATTATTTGCTCTTGTTTATATATATTTTGCTGATTCAAACTTACAAAACAAGCTAAACAGCCTTGCGTTTATGATTAAATAACACATCAATGTTTCCAATTGACAATAATTCACTGACCGTTGCTAATACTCACTAGTTAACCAACAGCACTAGAGCAAATAACGTTACTAAATTATTCCATAAAGTAAATAGTCAGTCCTTATTAACAATTCCTGGGAAAGAGTTAAGCATTAAATTGAATTACGAAAGAATTTAAAATAGCAAGCAAACCGCTTACTATTTAAAACTAAAGAATCAAACAAGCTGAAGTAAAATGTATTAATATTATAGCCTGCCCGTCGAATCGAACGTTCTGATAGACCATAAAAATCGAATATTCGTTGTATTTATAGTAAAGATTTTCAGTGTAGTAACGGTACATTTTTTTATAAAGACTGATGATTTTGCTACAGGGACTTTCAGTTAAAGTACATTATGAGCTTAAAAAATTTCGAAGAATTTGTTCAAAATTTTATGCTTTTGAGCAATTGATTTTTTTTCTCAAGCGAGAAATACTTTGTCAAAGAAATTTCGGCCAAAGTTTAATATAAATAATAGAGAAAGAGGAGCCTACAAAATGATATCATTTTAATATCTGCGTTT